TTTTTTTTTTATGTTTATTTCTGAGAGAGAGACAGAGCATGAGTCGGGGAGGGGCAGAGAGAGAGGGAGACACAGAATCTGAAGCAGGCTTCAGGCTCTGAGCCATCAGCACAGAGCCCAACGTGGGGCTCAAACTCACAAACCATGAGATCAAGACCTGAGCTGAAGTTGATCGCTCAACTGACTTAGCCACCCAGGCGCCCTGGTTGAACACTTCTTGATACTCCGTGTGTCAGCATAACAAACATAAAATTTTCTTACTCCTTGCTTTACCAAGAAGATCTTTGGAATTTTAGGTAAAAAACATCAGAATGAATTTCGGCTTCTGGTGGATCAGGCCAAAAAAGGATACAAGAAGACCGTTGAAATGTCAACAAAAAAAGTAATAAGAAAAGAAGATGAATCTACAGAAGAGCTATTACCTGTATGCATGGGTAAGAGACTTTAATTAAAAACAGAAATATGTTGAATTTCACTATTCATTTTTAATATAAAAAGAAAATAAAATCACAGGAATTTACCTTTTTATTAGGTATCTGAAATGGGAAAAAATATTTTTAGACCTATAACAATTGTTGAATGTTAACTAAGTTTATTACTGTAGGGAAAATGATTGAGACAATGTCCTGAAGACAAGTTTATGAAATCTTTCATTTAATGATAAATCAGAAGTTTCTTAGTTGTTTCAGCCTGAGGATGTTTTCTAACTATAGGATTTATTGCTGTATACTTCAGATATCCTACAAATAATTTCATTCTAGAATAATTTTTGTTAAAGGTGACTGGTATTTATTTTGGATGAAATGTTCTGCTATAAAGTCTGAAGCTTATAGACTTGGTGTGCCTATACATAGCACATTCCTTAATTTTGATCCATTTTAAAATTTGAGATTAATACTATATTTCTATTGCCAGGGCTTTATTTGGACCAGTGAACAAAACAGAGTCATAATGGAGGGTAGTGCACAAGAAAATTCCTTATTGTTTTCTTTATTATGATAAATTGTACATAACACAATATTTATCATTTCAACTGTTCATAAATGTACAATTCAGTATTATTAAATATGTTCAGAATGTTTTATAACGGTAACCACTGTCTGTACCTAAAACTTTTTCATCATCCAACATAAACTCCGTGCCCATTAAAAATAATAACTCTCTTCCACTTTTCCAGGCAGACCCTGGTAGTCTCTGTTCTACTTTTTTGTGAAATTTGCTTAGTCTGTGTACCTCATGTAAGTGGGAATCATTAATAATTAGTCCTTCTGTGTCAACTTATTTCACTAATAAGCATATTTTGAAGGTCCTCATGTTGTAGCTTTTATTAAAATTTCATTGCTTTTTATGTGTATGCCACATTTTGTTTATCTGTTCATCTCTAATGGGTTATTTTCACCTTTTGGCTACTATGAATAACACTGCTATGAACATTAGTGTTGAAATATCTGTTCAAGTCTCTGCTTTCCATTCTTTTGGATATGAACCTAAGAATGGACTTGCTGGTTTATATGGTAATTCTATGTTTACCTTTTGAAAAACCACCAACCTGTTTTCAAGTGGCTGCACCATTTTACATTCTTACAAGCAATGCTTAAGGATTCTAGTTTCTGTATATCCTTGCCAACAGCACCTGTTATTTTCCTTTTTTTTTTTTTTTAAACTGCAGCTATTATAGTAGGTAAGAAGTGGTATGGGTTTTGATCTTCATTTTCCTAATGACTAATGATGTTGAGCATCTTTTCACATGCTTATTGGCTATGTGTTTTTCTTCTTTGGAGAAATGTGTGTTCATGTTCTTTGCTCACTTTTCCATTGGTTTGTTTCTTTGTTGTTGTTTTAGGAATTCTTTATATATTCTGAATATTAATCCTTTTTCATGTATATGATTTGCAAATATTTATGAACATTTTCTCAGTTGTCTCTTTGCTTTCTTCATAGTTTCTTTGATGCACAACGGTGCTAAATTTTAATAAAGTCTGGTTTATTCATTCTTTCTTTTGTTGCCTGTGCTTTTGGTGTTATATCCGTGAAATTGTTGCCAAATCATTCATGGAAACATTTTGGAAAGATGGAAGATTTCAACATTTGGAAAATCATGAAAGATTCTCCTGTTTGTTTTTACCTAAGAGTTTTGTTGTTTTAGCTCTTCATGTGTAGGTCTGTGATCCCTATTAGGTTAATTTTTGTGTATGGTATAAGGTAAGGGTACAATTTCATTCTTTTACATGTAGATAAAGCACCAATTGTTAAGAATAGCCTTTGGGGCGCCTGGGTGGCTCAGTTGGTTGAGCGTCCAACTTCGGCTCAGGTCATGATCTAGTGTGGGTTTGAGCCCTGCATCGGGCTCTGTGCTGACAGCTTGGAGCCTGGAGCCTGCTTTGGATTCTGTCTCCCTGTCTCTCTGCCCCTCTCTGGCTCACACTCTGTCTGTCTGCCTCTCTCTCAAAAATAAAAACATTAAAAAAAATTTTTTTTAAAAAAAGAATAACCTTTCCACATTGAATGCTCTTGATATCCTTGTTGAAAGTCAATTGACTATATATGTGAAGGTTTATTTTTATACTCACTATTATATTCTTTTGGTCTAAAAGTCTGTTCTTATGTCTGTATTATATACTATTTTAATTACTGTAGCTTTGTTATAAATTTCAAAGTCAGGAGGTATGAGTCCTCCAACTTTATTCTTCCTTTTCAAGATTGTTTTGACTATTTGGGTCCCTGGAGATTCCATGTAAATTTTAGGATGAATTTTTCTACTTCTGCAAAAAGTAACATTGGGATTGAATTGAAATTATAGATTGCTTTGGTAACTTCTGATATCTTAATAATATTGTCTTATAGTTTGTGAACACAGGATGTCTTTCATTTAGTTATGTCTTTAATTTCTTTCAACAATGTTTTGTGGTTTTCAGCGTTAAAATTTTTCACTTCCTTGGATAGATTTATCCCTAAGCCTTTTATTCTTTTATGTGCTATTGCATTCTTTATTTTTTTCCTAAGTTCTCCTGGTATCATTTAGTAGGTTGCTGCCTGAGTATAAACCTCATGCTCTTTGTGAACAACTTGAATTTGTGCAGTTGTCAGAGGATTTTCTTAGAAAACAGTTTAGCTCCTGAAAAAATCTGGCTTAATATCTTCTGATCTGGAGAAGATTTTTGCTTATTGGTTGGATGTATCTTGAAAATGATTAATTGCTTATACTCAGGATTATGCACTTTATGTGTATATGCCTGTAAATACTGCTCTCTGTGGCATTCAGAGATGATTGGTGCTGGTAGATTGTTGTGCATGAATGCCCGTGTCTGAGGGAGGTAAAGAGTGTGTGAGAGAGGAAGGCAGACAGACTAACACAGACTCACTGAAGAGCTGAGCTTTGTGTTGCATCATACAATCAGTGTAATTTTTGCTCTTTCAAGTAAATTTACTCATTGAAGTGCCAATGTAAGTGAACAAGACACATGTTCTCTCAACTAAATCCTTCATCCATTGCTTTTTTTCTTCATTTTTATTGCACGTCTTTCGGGAGATTTGATGTTGGAGCCTTATCTTTGGGGGCTGTGTTTGACATCCTGTTCTGACATCTATGGACAGATACATGAAAGATAACTGACTTTCAGTGCCCACAAATTGTTGAATGATGTTTGTCCCCAAGGGGGAATTTATCTTGGAGAAGCTTCTATAAGATGGGAAGAAGTATATAAGGTGATTATAAATCAGGTGCAAAAATAAAAGATAGTTTTAAGTTCAACTCCCGCTCCCTAGTTTGTCAGCTTGATTGCATTTTCCTGGCCAGTTGAGTACTGGATGCCTGGGTTTCCTGAGTTTACTGGGTGATTGATTCTTCTTAATGTGGTCTTGGGTGCCTGTTTACAAGAAGAGTATTTCTGGGAAAATCTTGGAAATATCTTGACTGTACAGACTTACAAAGGTTTTTTTGTTTTTAAAGAATCTGTCTTATTCTTTAGTATAAATTTTCTATTTGTAACAAAACCTTGACAATTCTTCTTGGTGTCTTTTGTCGAGAGTCACTTGCCTCTGCAAACACACTGGGTGGGTGATGTGTGAGAGCTCTGCTTCTCTGGGAGGAAACTCATGAAAGGGGCTCTAGTCTATTAGCACATGTGGCTTGGCTGTTAAGTACTTACTGAGTTCCTGAAGCTTAAAGACAGTGTCACTGAAATACTAGCAGAGTCCTGAAACAGATCGTGAGGGAGAGTCCTGGGCACTGAGGAATCCTTCATGGATACTATTTCTGTACTCGTCTTTGGAGATATTTGGTCACACCTGTTATGTCACATTCTTGCCAGCACTGTCTGCATGCCTCCAGCTTCCCTTATTTTTATTTGCGAGAGGAGACCTCAGAAATTGAGGCTCTAACAAGGGATACATAGAAATGTCACATGTATTGGATCGAATGGAAATATTGGTTATGTCTGATTAGTTTTCCTTTTCCATAGTAAATTACTAGATTCTATTTAACAGACTAAGAGGAATGTCCAGATGGATTCACTACCACATAGTAGTCAGTGATAAATATCGAATCTTTAATGCTTTTTTATTGTGCTTCATATGTTTGTTGGTGTTCTCTGATCTATGAAATATGCAGGAATTCTCTAGTAATACTGTAAGTAGAAGCCTCATTAGAATTACACAGTTCACTACTCCTGATTTTAAAAGGAAATTTTGTTTTCAAATTAATCTGGAAGTGCATGGAGTGGGCATTGTAATTAGATAGCTCATAGGAGTGATGATTCTTATTCTCTGTCCCTGGGGTTTTGGATTCATTGTTATCTAAGCTTCCATTTTACTGAGTATAAATTGTACTGCTAAATGTAGAAATAATAAACATACAGAGGTTGTAGATTTTATGGTACTCTTAAATGTGTCTTTTTCTTTCTTTTACCTTTATAGAACAGGAAGATAAAAAGATGAAATTCTCAGACACTCTTCCCATAACAGACCACTTCCCTCAAACAAAGCTGGAATCCCCAGGGAGAATGGAGCCTGACAGACCAGATGATTCTTCCAGTTGTACTGATATTCAAGAAGAAACTCTTTCTTCATCAGAATCGGACTCATTCAATAGGTAAGAAACCTGTAGTACCGAATTATTGTAAATTTCTATTTTCCATACCTGTGCATGCTCAGACAGAAAGACACAAACAATTAGAAAGTAACTTTGAGGCATGAGGCAGTTCAGTCTTCCACTTCAGGCTCTTTTTACTGCTTTGTAACTTCCACAGTGATAGCAAGCAAGGCAGTATGTGGGAGATCATTGCAGTGACCGTAGGGTGGCCTTGTTTCTTACTCTGTACCCTTTAGATAGATATTTTTTCTGGAGTCAGAAAAGGGCATGATAGACAGTGATGTTTTTGTCAAGACAGGGGGTGAAGAAGGTAAAGATGACTATACTAGAAAATAGAAATGACCAGAAAGACAGTGTATAGGAGAGAAAAACAAGAAAAATGTAATTGAGCAAGTAATGGATGGGAAAGCTTTAAAAAAGAGAGGTTTGGAGGTGAGTAATTTTTTAAAAGATATTTTTAAAAGATGATGTACTTTAAAAGATTACCTAGTATAAAATGATTATACGTGTGTGTGTATGTGTATTTATATAATTTTTGTGTTCCGGCATTCACTTTATATCATAAACCATTTGTACCCATGTTTCTACCTCATTTTTATAGCTGTTTTTAAGTGGGTGCAGAGTTTTCTTATGGTTCTGTATCATAATTGACAAAACCCTTCAGTTTCTGTTCCCCAGTGTTCTACTTAACACATCTAAAGCTGTGGTAAAGCTCTCTATGTATAGAGCCTTTTGTTTCTAATAAATTATTTCTTTATTTTTAACACCATTTTGACCATAGTATGTGTTGCTGCCTTCTAAATGAATTATACCAATTTTAAAATGCTACAACCTGTGTGTGAATGTGTCTAGACATTATTTAATCTTTGATATTTCTTCATGTAAAAATTAACAATGCTGTAGAATGATAGATTGTCTAATCTGAAACATCAAATTAAGAGGAAAATTTTTTATAAGAAGACTATACCCAAAACCCCTCTGCTTTCCAAGGATTCTTAGGAAACGGTTTCAAATTATTCAGGCTGAGGTATTAGGAAGGGAAAATCTTCTCACTTCACCCCTAATGTTTTCAAGGTCAAAAACACCTCTCAGGTTGGGTAAGGGAAGAACACATGGTGGCCTGAGCGTTGTCCCTTTTGTCCAAGAGTATGGTACTGCAAGCCATTCCTTCAAGTCCAGTAGGCAGTATTTTTTTTTTTTTTT